AATATTTGTTTGATGGTCAAGCAAACATGAATGTTTAATAAGAAAAGTAGCGGAATGTTCATCACCTAGAAAATATTTCTTGATAGAAATTAAATAAAAATAATTGATAAAATCTAACCTTGTTTAATAGATAAATGAAGTAACGTTTGATTTTTATCATCAATATGATTAATATCTGCTTTATGACGAACAAGATTTTCTGCCATACTATCTTGTTTTGTTTTTAATGCTAATTCAAGTGCTGATTCATTTTGATCATCGAGTTCATTAACACGTTCATCTAACTAAAGACAGAAAAGAATTTCAAAAAACAAAAAAAACAAAAAATATTCATTTTTCTTTTTTACTTACATCCTCATCGTTATCAATTAAATAAAGAAAAAGAACATCTTCACGTTTCATTCGTATAGCTTGATGAAGTGAATATTTTGTTTTTTCTTTAAATAATTTATAAGTCATTGGTGCAGACAGATATTGAAAATCTTCACTTATGAAATCAGTCTAAAGTTAAATTTTACAAAAATTAAATAAAATATTAATTCAAATCTTCTACCCAATGTGTACTAATTAATTGACTACAATGTGTTTGTAAAACAGATGCATTGATTTCTTCAGCTATTTTATAAAATTTTAAACAATTACGAACATTGACAGCTGATATTAATGCAACTTCACATCTATATACAAAACAAAATGAATATTTTTATGTCAAAAATTTCAATGTAGCAGAGCTGCACAATTCAACTCAACTCATGAATTGAATATTGAGTGATACAGATGTGACACAAACCAACAAGTAAAAAAATGAATACGTTACTCATTAGTAATGGTGTAAACCGCTGCATTTATCAGCAGTGACTGAAATTAATTTTTTTTTTTTCATTTCGAGAAAACGATGACAGAGAACTCATTGATAAGAAACCAAAGGGTAATATGTTTAAAAATCTATTTGGGACATTGGACATTTTTCAAAATCAAATATCTACTTACGGCAATCCAAAACTAGTGTCGCTATCATCTAATTTCCGTATAGAAAACTTTAAGAAACTTTCTTTCTATATAATCTGATAGAGAAAAGAAGGCTCTATTTTTCTATGCTATTTGATCATACTTCAACTAATATTATAATAATAAACTTTCGATAAGATTTGTTTCGCTACCGTATGTACTGGTATTACTAGTGCCTATTTTTTGAATAAGTTTTTATAGAAACAATATTCAGAACTGCGATTTTCATCGTTCGACAGAAGAGATGAAGATGCGTCGAATCATGTATTATAGGTTTCCTTTTGATAATCAACCTCTTTAAAAACAAATTCACTCGTGAGGTGTTTACGATAAATTTTCAATTATCAGGTGTGTATTGAAATCGAAGTTTTAAGTGATTTTTCTGCCAATTTCTATAAAAACGTGTTTTTTGCTGTTTTCTATTTGATAAGAAATCATTTTTCGCACACTTTGAAAACTAATTAAAAAATATCAAACCATACACTAGGAAAACATGTAATATATGATTCGATGCATCTTTATCTTCTCTTTTGAACGATGAAAACCGTGGCTCTCTATCTTGTTACTATCAAAAGTTATTCAAAAACTATCAAATAGACACTCGTGCTACCAGCACATACGATAACGTAACAAATCTTATCGAAAGTTTATTATTATGACACTCGTTGAAGTATGATCAAATAGTATAGAAAAATCGAGCAAACTTTCCTCTATCAAACTGTATCAAAAAGAAGGTTTTTTAAAGCTTTCTATACGAAAATAAGATGATGGCGACACTACTTTTAGATCGCCCTAAGCATTTTTGTATTGCGGAGGAGACGGTTCAGTCGATCGGCTTATACTTCTACTCATTACCGAAATTGATAGAATTATACACCGGTACATTAAGAATATAGATGGATAAATTAGATATGTCCATCATGCAAGGTCTCTAGGCGATTAGGTATAATATTATGCAAACATAAAAGTCCTAATGAATGTATTGAGCTCAAGGTATCCGTGCAATAGACCAGTTGTCTCAGCAGGATACTTTCTTGAATACCCTGCTGAGAATTATCTCACCAGGGAAAATATCCAATTATTGGAAGCTGTTTGATCTCATATCATAACTAGTAGTAATTGAACGTTGAATATTTTAAGAATGACATGTTCGTTTTGTTGAAGCTTTCAGGACTATCAATTTTGCCTACAGGCAAAATTTTTTGTTTACAATTTTTCGGAAATTCTTTACTCTTAGGAGCAGTTTCATTAAAGCAGCTTTGAGTCTTTATCAGTAAATCATTGGCTCGAATCCTTTTCAGCTTTGACTTAGTTTCACCGAGATCTTTTCATAGGAAGCAATCCTGAGCTCAGTACATTCATTATGAGTATGATTGAGACACTTCTAAACAAGAAATCTGATGAAAAATTCCAAAGAAAAAAAAATTGATTTTTAAATTAAATTCATAGATCTTTGAAAAGCTTCTTTTAAGTCAATACATGAGTTGAATTAAATTAAATTGCCCTATTTTAAAATGTATACAAACTGATCAATTAATTCTTTTAATTCAAATCGTTTTGCTATTTTCATTAAAGTTAATAAAAAATCTTCATTTTGTTTTTCAACTATTTCATCTGTATAAACCCATTTTATTAATTGAAATCCAACATCAAATGGAATGTCTAAAAAAAAACATTTGTATTTATTTTCTTTCTATTTAAAAACAAAATCTCTACCTGATAGATCAAGTTCTGTTATGTCATCTAATTCTTGTGAATCCCATTTAAGACTACGTGCTGCTAAAATAAATCGATGTCCATATAATGTTTCTCCATCAAGTTTAATTGAAATATCACTATAAAAAAAAATAAGACTATCAACTTAATGATTTGTTGTTTTCTTTTATTTAATATTTGCCTGTAAAGTTCACGATTAAATAAGTCAGCTATTGTTTTAAGTAAACGACATACAAATGAATCTTGATCAATTTTAGTTGTTACATTAAGAATATTATAATTTTTTTCTAATGCTTTATATCGTTGTTGAAGTTTAACATATTCTTCACGTAGAAGAACCAGATGTTGTTGTAATTTGACGATTTCGCCTTAAATAACATCGAAGTATAATTAAAACAATACAAAAACAAAATATTTACCTTGAGCATCGCCACTGCTCATTGTGCATGTAGAACAAAAAAAAATAATTTATACAGATACTAGAAGAAATTTTTTCCATAATATACATTTTGGATGCATGTTTACTCGAGTATGGTCGAAAGCTTGAACCAAAAGAAAAATAGCTATTTAAATATATTATTGCAGATTAACGACATCTAATCGAAAAAATCAAATGAATAATTTTCAAAATGATTTTTTTTTCTAACTAAGTAAATATTTAATTATATAGTTTTTAATATCAAATATCATTTATTTTATTAATGAAATTAACAAAAAAAAAATTTGTTAAAGAAGAATGAATATTAGCTGGAATCAAATTTTTATTTGCTACCTTAGGCTATTTATTCAAATCTCATTATAATCGTGAGACATAATCGAAAATTCGCCGAGATACCATTAAAAGGAATACGTATTATGTTTTTTACAAGGTTTACTATTTTTGTAAATGTATTTCGAGAGATATATTGCGAAAAGAGAACATATACAATGCATTATGAAGCACTTCGTTTTGCCTTTGTTAAAACAAGAACATTGAAATATTCTATTTTAGGTTTTTTTTGTGTGCACGGAATGATCGAAAATTTATGCGAATTAAACAATCGTTCATGGATGATTAATTAGCTGTCTTTTAAGATTTTAGCAACAGTTCTGTACTGTTGTATGTAAAACAGAAATGAAATTTCCTAATAATCTTGCTGACAACTTAATTATGTGTTCATTCGATTAGTCTACATCAAAAATATGTTCAGAGAACGTACAATTGTTTGATAGTGTTTTTCTTTATGATTTAAAATAGCCGTCAAAAGTCCTGCTAACAGGTAATCTATAAGACAATTCTTTAATCTTATATTTTGGCGACAAATAGAGCGCGATGAATCTTGATTGCAACTAGCAATCACAGTTTAATCAGTCATCATACGAACGAGCTAGAAGGTCAACATAGATTTCTTAGTAGACTAGAAATTAGAAAGTTTTTTTTTAATTAAGGTATAGTAGGGTACGGGAAAAAGTTTATCCTACACATCTCTAGCAACAAACTACACAACATTTGACAACTGATTAGAGATCTCAATGTTGTCTGTGTCACCGATGCAAACTTCATATCAAACGATTTTAGATTGCTTAATCGATGAAGTTATATTTAGGTATTTTTAACATGAAAATTGATAGAATTCGTCCAAAGGTAATCTGTGAATTCAGACTATTTTCAATTGTTTGTCTTGAAATATTTTCCAACAAATTCTCTGCTCTAATCCAACAGTCCCTGAAAGTGTCATAATTATAGTAATTCGGGTCGCATTCTAGATAACGGATGTCAGTAATAAGCTGGATATTAACATTTCAAAATAATGGTGATTCAGAGAAGTGTTAAAAAAGCATTTTTTAATGTCACAGGAAAAAAACGTATTTTTAATTCTATATCCGATGCATTAAGGCAAATCGACCTGCGGTTGGTGTTTGTGACCCTTATTTTTTGTGCTGCGTTTGTAATAAAAATATCAGGCAACTGGATTTAAATTTAGGTATTTTTGTATCTGATAGCGGCGTTTTTGGCGATTACTGTAAACATTCCCACAGACTAGAGAAATGTATATTTTTTTCTTTATTCAATACATTATTCCTTTCTAAATTTCATAATCACAACTCTCCCTATAGACATAATATTTTGCTTTTTTAATCTAAAATTTATTTGAATAAGTAATCCTTTATAGAAAATTCACAGACATGCATGCTACTGGTAGGAAACAACGATTCAAATATAAAGAGATTTCTTTTTTAATATTAAAAAATCTACGAAAAGATAAAATGAATTATTTCAATTGTTCATTTAATCACTATCGAAAGTATACAAATGGATAATATGCAGTCATATTAGTTACATAGGGTGCTGCACTTGAATAAATATTATTTGGCATTGACATATACGTAACCGGTTGTTGTGCAGAGTAATAAGTCGGTTGTTGTATTATATAATTTGTTGAAGGTCTAGTTGAAATTGTAGTAGTTATTTTTGGTGTTGAAGTATCTAATGATTTTTCTTTTTTTTTCGATTGTTTATTCTTTGATGACTTTGGATTATGCCGATCGATAATAATAACACGTTCAGTCGTTGATGTTGATTGTGATGGTTCAGATTCTTGACGGTTTATAACTTGAAATAAATCTTCGATTGTTTCAGAACCTATAACAGTATTTGGTGAAGAATATATTCGTTTGGTTGTTATTATTTTTTTCTTATTAGTATTAAATCTATGATTTCTTTCTGGTGAATTTTTACGAGTTTGAGAATTCGAATATACTGAATAATTTAATTCACTATCACTAGTTGAACGCGACACTGAACGTGAACGTATATCATCACTTGTAGATGAACGATATGTAGTTAATGATTTATCAATTGATGTTATTGGTTGTTGATAATATTTTGTAGATGAATTTAAAGAATGCAAATCAATAACTGGTTGTTGTTGATAAGTTAGATATAATGGTGTATTTAGATTTGTTGTTTGTATTGATCCAAAGTTTTTTTGCGACGTGGAAAATGTTTGTTGACTTGGTTTAATAGAATTTGAATAGGCTTCTTGATAATGTTTATTATACAGATGATTGATCGGCTTAGGATAAGCTGCATGCGGATTATTTGATACATTGAAAATAGGAAATTCATATGGTGATGGATCAGGGCCCTTTGTAGACAAAAAAAAAAAGAAGAAAAATATTGTATAAGTTTATAATTGTGAATATAGATATCAAACCTTATTACGAAGTTCATATTTCATTCGTTTTAGAAGTCCCTCTAGTCTTGCAGCTAAAATATCCACATTAACATTTTGACCACTATATTTAAGGTCTTCATAAATCCTTTGAGCTTCTTCACTTAAAATATTCGTGAAACGAGCTACTACTTCGGGATTCATACCAGCTAATTTCCGAGCAACAATATCAACCGCACGCGAAATTATAAAATTATATTTAGGCATTTTTCTAAATATCGACTTCGTAATTATACAAACACTAAAATAGACAACACAGAAAATGAATCAGTATCTTACCTTTTACCTGAATTAATTATGTTTTTTATTCGTTATTACTTTCAAATGAATACAGATATTGATTGTTTATCCATTTTATACTATTGCAAGTATCTTTATTTCCATTTCATCAGTGATATGAACAAAAAAGAGATGTGATTTATTGATAAATTGATAATATTTCTTATCGAAAAAAACTGAAATAGATGCTAAAAAAAATTAATTAATAGTGACATCTGGTATACAGTTTCAGCTTGATTTTTTTTGACATTTAAAAGAGGAATGATAGTTTAATCTGATTGGTTTGATCTACTCGAGCATGGTTATTTACTCAAGAGTTTTTCTTTTACTAAAAAAAGAAAAAGAGAAATAATTTATTTTTATTTTATTCGATATTCATATACCTTCTTTTACAATGGATGTATTTATGATGATTCGTCGACAAAAATTAACACTTTTTATTGATACTAAAGAAACTTCAACAGTTCTGGAATTAAAAAAAATGATTGAAGGTATTACAAAAGTACCTCCAAATAATATACGTTTAATAGTTGATTCAACTAAACAAGCAATGGATGATGATAATCAGACACTTGTTGATTGTGGATTAACAAGTGCTGTAGCTAAATCATATTCTCCTATACTTCTATATTTATGTTATCGAAAAAATACAGATCGAAATGAAAATGATTGGGAACCAATTGATGTTGCTGAATTGTAAGTGATACGGAAATTTTCATTTCATATTAATTACATATGTTTTCAATATAGATATATGCTTTTTACTTAGTTTACTAAATTAAGAGTAACCGAACTTGATTGATGGGAAAAATAATTACTTGATTAATAATCGCAATTAATGAATATTGACAATATTTTATTGATTCAATGCTAGACATGTGAGAGTTTCTAGTTCTTGTCACACAAGCACGGTTATCGAACGTTCTGATTTTCTCCTAGTTATAAGTTTCTGACAACTTCATTCCGGTACACATGTAAGAAAGGTTAACTACATGACTCGGAATAGATAAAATTAATTTTTTAGAGACACTAATTCGTTCTTTCAAAAAGACTTGGTGAACGAGAAACAGCAAACTTCAAGACATAAAGAAATTTCAAACACATAGTCTTTGTTGTTTTCTTCTCGGAAACCAGTTGATCACGATCGCATGAAGCGTTCCTCCTCATTGAATGTTTTTGAGAAGCTAGGTTGATCTCAACTTCAGAAAAATGATTATAAGCTGTTGTTTCGAAAATTTCAATTTTTATGTTAGTTTAATTCTCGATGTTGAAAATTTAAATACTGAATAAATCTTAACTAATTGAACACATCTACACGATCAACATAAATAAAAATTCCTAATTACACCTATACTTTGAATATTTCAATATAAATAATATTGTCGATGTATTGTCTAACAATTCATCTAATTTCAATTGTATGTTGATGCAAATCATGGAAAGCTAGACACGTGACAATGCTTTCATTATTATGTCTCTAAAATAATTTTCCCAGAGAATCTTGATTACGCTTGAAAAGCTGTTAGCACACTTCCTGTATAATTAAAACATGAAACACGATGTGACTGCTGTTATTAATTATAGGGAAATTGTTTTATTCAACCTGTTTTGGGTTACATATTTTTTCACTACTCTTTTATTTTATTCTCAAGAAATACAATAAGACAGTAGTTCATATAGTACAACCAGATGTTATTGATACACAGTCTTTGATCGTTTATCAACAACGTTTGTGATGGTTTGCGAAGAGAGGAGGCACAGTATATATCTAGTCAAATGTTTGATCAAAATAAAATCGCGCTTCTTAAAGATTTAAATACAGAGAAATATACTTCGAAATATATTCTATGTAATGATAAAAGAATTTTTTCTATCTACTTTCTCTAATTCATGTCAGCACAAACATTTCTGAATTGGACAGTAGGTTTTCACAAAAAGATCTAGGTTTTTGAGTTTTTCTGACTTTGGAAAAATATTTAATCGACAAAAATAGTATATTTGGAATCAGTGCATTAGACTGTATCGAATAATATATAACATAAGACAATTTTGAAAAAGAAATTTTCTCGAACGAATGAGAGCTAAGATTTCTGGCAAGTATTTTTTGCCGAAGAACTTTTCCCAAGAAAAACTTTTTTTTTGTCCGCTTGCCATGCTAAAAATGAAAACTATGAAGAGAATGCAAATTTCTACTGTATTTACTTGAATATTCCTTTTAGGTTGAGTTTCACAAAAAAATAACAGTTGAATTTTGTATATTGGCAATATTAATGGTACTGAACTATTCTAAGTATCAATCAAATTAAGCTTTATATTTATGTTGTTTATGTAGATGTGTACAGTTAATTAAAGACGTATCTATTATCTATGGTTTGAATGCTGAAATCTAAATTAACATGTGATAAATGAAAGATTAGTCATTTTTTTGAAGTTGACATTGACCTAGTTCTGCTAATGCACTCAATGGGGAGGAACACATTATGTCATCTTGATCAACCCATTTAGTTCTATCAACTGGCAGAGAGTTGATTGAAAACGGAAACTCATACTTAAGAACCCACTCTCATAAGACAAGTTCATTGAAAAAATATAAGAAAAACTACTGAATATAATAGCAAATGTTAGGTATTTTATCTTTGTGGTTTTCTAGTATGAATTTTCTACAAACCTCATTGATAGTTGTTTTTATAAATCGTCTTGATTATGATTACGTAAGAGATCGTACTAAAAATTTTATGACAATTCTTAATTAAATATAAATGCGTGATCTGTTATATTTCATCATGATGTTCTTTTTTCCTTGAAAAGGTCAGCATTAATAGGTTGTTCATTGATAACCAGGTTGGAACTGTTTTCAAACATTGAGAGCTTCTTATATTTGATTTGTTCAAAAGAAAACTTACGAATTTTCGTTTTAAATCCATTCGTACAATAGAAGTCTTCCGTTAGAGGGAAAATGTGTCGGACGTCATAGAAGTTGAAACCCTAATGAGTATATTTACATCAAAATATCCCCAGTTTTCAGCTGGAAATACTGCGACCAACATTATTCTTGATGTTTTTAAACTGTAAAGATTCTCTTTCTAAATTATTCAAATTGTTTTGATTATCTGAAAAACTTTTTCGATTAAAAATTATGATAATAAATGAGCGAAAGTAGAAGATCTTCTCTAAAACTTGGTACTCTTGCACATAATCGAAGATCTAGAATCCTCCGAAGAGGTTTACATACAATTAAGAAATAGCAATTCTAACGTTGTGTTTCGTCCGGATGAAAAATATTTATTCCATTGAATAAGTAGGAAGCTTTCTCCTAATATGAACATTTTTATTCTTTAAGAAATAATGCAGCTCTATTCAATGACTTCTTAATAAAAGAATGTTTTTTTTATATTATTCAATAACGTCTTGAAATTAAAGAAAATTGACATTATTTGATTAGTGATATAAAACTCGATAATAGTAAAGATAAACTGTGTATACATGTCACACGAGGTCTTCTTTTAGTGTCGACTTTTGGTAGATTAACAAGAAAAGATAATGTGACAACAAATTTTCTCATGGACATTTAGAACTTTTAATACAATAATCTATACAGATTCACGAATAGAAGAGATTAGCTTTGTATGCTGATAGACATCTTTTTAATATGTATTTATTTTTTTTTTCTTTAAATTAATGATTTTTCATATTTAAAGAACTAAACATTATATGTTGGAGAGAGATTCAACGTAAAATAATTGAATAAGAAGTGTATTTCTAAACATATAAGCACAGAGATTGAATAATTAATTCTCGTTAGAAAGTTTTGAATTCTTCTGATTAAGTTCAGTTCAAAAATCGATGAAATCTTACAATTGATATTGAAACATATTTAAAGTAGCTTCAAAAATTAATCATACAGATTTAATTTCGACTATTTTCTCATCGTGGTAACTGATATGAAGAATTCAAATAGTAACTTGTATAGATAAAAAGTCGTTTTTCAAGAAATAAATGAGGAAATTGAAAACCGTAGTATGCTTTAAGTCCATGTTTTCTAGGATGAACTATCTCTGAGCTCTTTACAACGTTTTTTTGACTGGATTACATCAATTTTAAGACAAGTAGAAAGTCATTTTTGTCTGGAAGTGTAAGCCGATGCGTTGATTGACAGCCGTAACAGGTTTACTCCTGCTTTTTCTCTGTTGACCACGGCAGCTACAAAAGTCACAGACTTCTGTGACTGCTAAAACCTTCAGTGACAATTATGAGCAACGGTGGCGATTGAGCCCGTCGGCATACATCCCTATTTTTGCCTCTTTTTCGCATAGGAAATGGTCAAAAAAACGACTTTTATGCTTTTCTCAAAACTGATGAAATTCAGTCAAAAAAATATATCATAGAAATTTCGGACACATCTCATTTTTGTAATAGCTCTATCAACCTGTGAAAATTTAGTCGAAATTTTTGGTTTTGAAATACTTAGTACTAAAAAACTAGATTTGATGCTTTTCTACAAATCCTAGATTTTATGAATATAATGAGAATTTTATTCTCGGCAAATATTTGTTGAACACAAATTTATCTATCTAAATCATTATTTGGATTGTTTATGTCAGTTAGTATTATGGAAACATAGTCGAAATTAAATTCATGTAATGAATTTTTAGAGTCAATGAGTGCAAAATCACAATTCGATAATAGTAATTTATCTAAAAATTACTTCCGAAGAAAAAAAAATCTCAAAATGACACATGAAATCAAATCTTGTTTAGACCAAAGTAATTTCCTGCATACTTAATAGACTCTTTTTTTAATTCGTCAAACAAATTTAGACATTAAATTAATAAAAACTTCAATTATTTATTTATTTATTCATTTATTTGAATTTCTTTTTCTAGGAGTACTCCTCCACCATTATCCGATGTCTTTAAAACAGATGATGACAAAAAAGACAATATTCAAATTGCTTCATAGAACAAAACAAATAGCTTACAATAATTACATGCGATTTACAAGCGTTTTTCTTTGCTTTTCATATTTACAGTAGCATTCGTTTGTTTTTTTTTATTTTTCTTTTTTTTTGTTGAGTATTCAATGTTTTTTTCATTGATGATTTTATTTTATTCATAGTTTTATTTCTTAGTGCCATTTAATCATCAAAGAAAAATATTTGAAACAAAAAAAGAGAAGAAAACTAATTAATCTAATATGGAAAAATTCGTTTTTTTTCTTCACATAAATGTCATCACTCAATTTTTTTTTGTTTTTTTTGTTTTATCTTCAGAAATTCATTATTCAATATGGAATGACATTGAACAAAACAAAAAGGAATATATGTACGAGGGGTTAAATAGTACTGGGAAATCTTAATAGAACGAAGAAAAAAATGATTTAAGGCGAAATATAAACATTAATTTCATAAATAGATAATTAAGAGACAAAAGATATATTTCAGGGATTAGATGCTGGATTATTTTGGTGAAAATCATCTAGATCTTTGTCATCGTTATCATCATCAGGACCTGATGTTGAACTTGAATGAGCATCTTCAGAACGTCCCTGTGTTGTATGAGTTTTTGACTAATATAAAATATAGAGAATAAAAAATAACGAAGCAAAAGAATTTATTTTACTTTTTTTGCTTTTGCTGGTTTTTCTTGAAGAAATGGCTCGATTACTACTTTACCGATATTTCTACGATCGATCAATTTTCCAAGAGCATTATTTACCTGTAAATAATGTGAATATGAATTTTATACAGAAATATAAAAGAAATTTTTTTTTTTCAAATATACTTCGTCAAATGTAAAGACAGAATCTACAACTGGTTTTATTTTTCCTTCTTTATAAAGAATAAATATTTTATGCATTATATCAGCTAAATAACGACGTGTATCATTTGAACCGCGTAGAAGTAATTGAATTAAATTAAAGCCATGTACAGATTTGCTATCTTGAAATAAACGTAAACAACTTATTTTATCATTTTGCCACCACTAAAAATGTAAGAAAACCAAAATAAAATATTGTTTTTCCTTTTTTTTTTTTTTCATTAATAAAACAAATAATTGCACATACATTTGACATTCCTTTTGTAAGACCAAAAAAACTTTTTACACTCCAACTAAGTAAACTTGATGTACCATACATGATATATTTTCCATTAAATTTAAGTAAAGCAAGACCGCGTTCACAGTCATCACCTGCCATGCAATCAAGAACTAAATCAACACCATCTGGTGCTATTCTAAAATCTCAACTATGATATAAACAACAAAGCGAAAAGGTAACTAGTAATTCATACTTTTTGACGTCTTCTATGTAGTCCATATCATGTTCGAATAAATAATGAATATGAGCACGCAATACTTCAAATTTATGTGGACTTGCAGTTGCTATAATTGTTAAATTAGGCACAAGTTTTGAAAGTTGAGTTAATGCAACTAAAACAAAAGAAGAATATTGTTTTTCCTTTATTTCCAATGTACAGATTAATATAATAATTATCTTACCACCAACACCGCCACCAGCTGAATGAAATAATAATGTTTGATTTGGTTTAATATTACCAATTTCAAATAGAAGTATATAGGCAGTAAGATATGCAACAGGAAGTACCGCTGCTTCTCGAAATGACATTTCTTTTGGAATTTTAAAAACTAAATCTTTTTTAACAATAACTTGTTCGGCCCAAGCTGAAAAATGTGTAAGTACCACAACACGATCGCCTTTCTGTATTAAACAATAAAATTCATTCAAAAAAAAAAATTCTCTTTAGTTTAATCTTACCTCAACATTAGTAACATTTGTTCCAATATCAAGTACTTCACCACTGAATTCAAAACCGGGTACGAATGGAGGTCGTGGAATGTCGTCTAACAGACCATAACGAGCAAGAACATCATTAAAACTCACCCCACTAGAAAAAAAAATGTCATTTTCTTTTTCTTTTTATTCTTAAGTTTTTAATAAGAATATTACCAAGCTTTGACAGCTATTAATACTTCATCATCAGCTGGTGTTGGTAGTTTTGGCATTGTTGTTGATTTAAGTTCACGCTTTCCAGCAAATGTTTGTTGAAGAATTATGCATTTAATATCAGATGTTGAATTTTTGTTTGTCATGGTTTCATTACTAGCCATATCGTTGTTCTGGAAAAAAGAATGTACCGATCTAGTCTATATATGATATGTGCTGCTTTTGTTCACATCTATTTGCAATCCAAATGAAGCAAGTTCGGTGTTGTCACCTATTTCTTCTATGTTTGTTGGTTGTTTCTTCTTCTTTTCCCTCTATTTTATTCCTACGACACTAACCCTATTTGATGTTATTCTTTACAAGCCTATAGTAAATGTGTGTGAGCATTTTTATTTATCCGCCGTTGCTATAACCCTCTCTCTTCTTCGTTTTTTTCTGCGGTTCCTTTCTTCCTTATTTTTATATTTGTGGAAAACACAACCCCTAGTTGTCGTTGGCGATTCTTTTCTTTTTCTTGAATATAAACCAAAGGAGAGAGAAAAGACAAAAAACTCAAGGCTATTCTGTCATGATGAAAAAGAGCTTCTTTCTTTCTTTATCATTCACCATACTTTTATCAGAAACAGTAGAAACATACTAAAAGAACCATGTTCATCTTCATCGTAATCACGAGATCTATTCTGAGTTCTGTCTTCAAAATTGTAACACCAACGGAAGAGAGAACAGCCGTAGAATTTCCGTGCACATTTTTATCATCATCGAGATCACAGTCAATGCTAAACAGTCATTCTGTCTATTCTATTAATTCAACGATAAAGGAGAATGATACCCAATCATGAATATATAAAAACAAAAAGAAATTAAGGAAAACAACGAGCAGATTAATTCTTTTTCTTTCAACAGCAAAAAAAAAAAAGAAATTTTATTAAGATTCTTGATCATATGCTACACTTAATTTCGGTACTTTATCATCATACGTAAATAGTCTAGAATAAAAGAAAGCAAAGATAATTAAAAAAACAAATTTTAACATTTGCATTTTCTTGTCTTGGTCTATTAAAAATTTATCTAATTTAAGTTTGCACAAGTCGACCAGAAGAGATTCTATTTAATAATTAATGTTTCTTTAATTTTAATCATGCAAATCGATATTAATAATATTTTTAGTATTATAAATAAAAGTAAAATTCAAAAACACTGACATGAAAAGTAGAGTAGTTTTTATTATTCTTAATCAATGATTTAAACGACAATTAACATTAGCATTTCTGATATAGCTATAATTTTCAATATTTTATTTTGTGTTTCTATTCTATGCACAAATGAGAAAGCCTTGAATAGATAGAAAAAATACTTGATCAAAAGAAGTTTTTATTCCCTCGATAGTAGCGTTATTTTGTTTTGTTTCTTGATAAAGAAATAATTAGTATATTGTCAATGAAAAATAGACACTTTGCAAAATATATATTCTGAGCAAGGGCAAGAAGGCCTGTAATTTTTCATATGTTCTCATTTTATTATTTCTTGAATAATATTTTACAAGAAAAAAAATTATCACTCTCTGGATGATTATTATCATTATTATTTCTCTTCGTAATCAAAATATCGATTGGTTACTCAGTGCTCTATTGCTTAGTTGAAATAATGCTACCGAAGCAATTGTATTATATGAATCTATTGTTGAATAAGATAAAAGAATTTCTATAAGTTATTGCTCTCGTGTTAGACTACAAATGGATAAAAAAAAAATAATGCTATTATGTAAAACTGTACTTATTATAGAATATACAAAGAGGATAATGAGAGAATTATCTCAAGTGGTACTAGAGATGTTGATAGGCTGACCCATGACCCATGCGCAGTTTGGATCTCAGGTGATACACGAACTAGATATCTTCATGGTTTCTGGGTTTTTGGAGGCAAATTATATGCTTATATGCATCCGCGAGCTCAACTCGTTTACAAATATTGCTTATCATTCTTCATCCTTTCATTCTGCATATAGTTATGCTTAGTAGTCATGCTATTTTTTCTTTTTCCCCTCCTCCCACTGATTTATTTGCTTTTATTATTTCCTTCGCTCTTTATCATCTAGATTCCATCAATCATTTCTTCTCATTACATATTCATTCTAGTCATTCATCGACTTGTTTTGAAACATGTTCACGTATAAAACACTTTGAGTGTAAATCTTCTCTTGAATGCATTGAATCATCAATCCACACTCCTTTTTTACCTACAGATACTACATAGTGTTCGAATAAAATCCTTAAACGGGCTTTAGTTCCTATTGTGATTAGATCAAGTTATCAAATTTTGATTTGAAAATTTGTATATATAGAGAACTCAACTAGATTAGTTTTCATAAAAGAACTCAGACATTTTGAACAAAGTTTCTTCGAGATATGAGACTTTCAAGGTATCGACATTTATTCATTGATAGTTTATACAGCATACATTTTTTTTGAAAGCTCCACATCTCGAAAAGATTTTGTTCAAAACTTGTGAATTTTTATTTGATGGAAACTAGTTTAATTGAGTTCTCTTTATGCATAAAGTTTCAGGTGAACATTCAAAAATAAGAATTTTCCAAAAATCTGAGGTTTCTAGAAAATAGACAGATCATAAATTTGATAGCTTAGTTAAATATCAATAGAAATCTAAATCCTTTTAGAGTTTTATTAGAATACTATGTAGAATCTATAGGTAAACAATCATTGAAATCGGAAGGAAGCAGCTGAAGAGGTTCCCCCTCTAAGTTTATTGAGTGATATACTATTGGTTCGTTTAATGTAATAAATTGGATTGACAGATGTGGAAACTAGCTATTTGTCGATCGTTTTTGCACATTTATCGTCATTATTATCCTAGTCGAAGTTGTATCTGCTATGTTAATATTATATATGTATATCAACATACACTATTACTTTTGCTTTACAATTTTATTGTTTTAAAGTTTAATTGAAATTTGTAATGTTTATGTATATGTTCAGAAA